TGTCCATATTCCCTTATCAAACAGTCACTGCAGGGCCCACAGCAAGATTTAGAAGGGGACCCAGGAGAACTCAAGGAAAAACTGAACACAAAGTTGTCCTCTTTCTCAAGGTAAAAGCAAAACTTAAATAATTCCAAACATCAGACAATTGAAAAACATTTGTAATAATCTTTGAAATGCCACTGATGCAGTTTTGGGGTTTTTTTTGTTTTTTAAGATAGGGTCTTGCCATGTAATTCAGGCTGGTCTTAAACTCACTATGTAATTCAGGCTGGCCTTGAACTCACAGCAATCCTCCTGCCTCAGCCTCCCAAGTGCTGGGATTACAGGCACCCACCATTATTCCTGGCTACTGATGCAGTTTTTAAGAGCAAAATCATATATTTATATTTTGTGTAGGCAATGTGTTAAAATCTTTGCACTTCATAAGCAAATCCCACTTGGGTGGCAATGGTAAGGAAGCCAGGCACCATGCAGAAACCTAATTCAGCATTTTCAATACGGGACAAAAAACAGAGCAAAGAGATAATTTATGCAAAGCAACTGAGACTTCACCGTGCATGATGGGAGCTCTATAGGGATGTGTTGTCAGAGCTAAGACCATCCCAGACTATGCAGAGTGAATAAATCTGCAATTTCAAAGATACAGAAGGAGAAGCACACATTTTACAATGTACCTTTTACCGAAGAAGCTTTATATGACACATAGTTTGTAAAACTAAAGGAAAAATTATTGATGCATTAACAACAGTCCCAAACAGTCAATTCTTCCATATTACTTTTATAATCTTCATGCACACTTTTATGCTTGTCATTATAGTATACAATTTTTATCCTTTTACATACTATCTTTACAGTGTTTCTGTTGTAATAAAATATGTATAAACATCAGTTATAAAGTATTTAATGCAAGATTTCAAAACTACAAAAAAGCCCAGCAAAAAATATAATGAAACCCAGCCCAGCTATCACTGAGGTGGAGCAGTCATCAATTCACCTACATGTAACCTCCTCATAATCTCCTTCCTCATCCTCCCCTGGATTACTTTAAAGAAACTCCCACCATCATATCATGTGTACATATTGCAGTCGATGTTCCTTATTTACCATGGCTACAAAGTAAGTCACTGGTCAGGGGAGAATATAAAACATTCAATCATTTATTAATTGCTGGATATTTTATTGTTTCTGAGTGTTTCACTGTATAAATGATACGGTGTTTGATATTTTCTTGTGTGTGATATTTTCTACGGTGTGTGATATTTTCTACAATTTGTAGCAAGATCCAGACAGGAAGTTCTTGGGTGGAAGGACATAAATATTTTTATAGCTCTATATGAATATTTCCAAGTGTGTTTTTAACATGTTGGTAACAATGCATAGGCCACCTGAAATGTCCAAGGTGCTGTATCCTTATCAAAATCATGAGCATTTTTAAAAAGTGCTATCTAGCAGAAGGAAACATAGCACTTCATTCTTGGTATTTGGAAGATGATTCAATGAGGGTATTTCAAATGCACAGTGTTGTCCATAGGAGAGGAAGTAGCTAGTAACTTCCGGCAACAGCAAGACTGGCGAACATGTGACTCACAATCTCTTTCCTGTTTTTTCTCCTGAAGGAGTTCTGCTACCCAGTCGGAAAGGGGAAGCAGAAACTACATGAAACATATATAACAAGGGACGGGTGTTGACAGGAACATACTGAACTGATGTTCCAGAGGGTGAGTTCTAAACCTCCACCTTGTTACATAGTAGACACTGTCCAAAGACTTCCCCCACACATACACTGCTTAATTTAAGAGATAGAATCTACCTGGCCTCCCCATAAATCTGAGATGTTGTTAGTGACTCTTTTTTAACCAATACGATGTGGTAAAAGTAACATTCTAGAATTTCTAAGACTATGTCAAAAGAAGCTTTGCCACATTCTCCTGGTCTTTTGGGCAACTCCTTCTGAGAAGAACTTTATGAAACCCAGCTTGGAAGTTGTAAGAACCTGAGGCAGGTAAGGAAGGAGTCTGGATGACAGTCCCAGCTGGGCTTTCAGCCTATAAACCAGCATCACCTTCTGGCCATTACGGCTATCCAGCCCCATCAAGCTTTCAGATGGCTCCAGACTACAGGTGCTAGGGAACCCCAACCGAGAAGTGTCCAAAGGAACACAGTCAACCCTCAAGACCATGACAGAAAACAATAAACTGTTGTTTTTAATTTATTGTACTTTGCGTGGTGTATCAGACCCAGCCCAGAACAATTACCAACTAGCCTTTACCTTACATAAGACAGTGAACATCTTTGGATCTCAGTCTCCTCGTCTATAAGGAAATGAGACTAGAAAACCTCGAAGGTCATCTTAAACCAAGTGATTCTATCCCTTCATTTATCAAGACTGCCTCAGAAAGATGGTCAATGGCATGTGTGTGTGTTGTGTTCTATTTTTGTCTTAGTGAAATGACCATACTGAGATCATTTCAAAATAATCCAAGGTCCTCTGGGTAGAGCAAACGTTTAAGGTGGATGGAAAGAAGTAAATGGTATACTAGCGAGGGAGAAAGAAACGCAAGAATATTACAGGTTTAATAAAACTTTTCACTCCAGCACAAATAAACAAATAAAACCATGAACTACTTACTTTTTGGTGTATTTAACACGTTTAATAACATGAATATTTTTAACCAATCTGTGTGTTGCTTTGAAAACTTCGCCATATCCACCTTTGCCAATGAGTTCTATGTCTTCATAATTTTTGACAAACCTTAAAGATAAATACCACTGTTATTCTGAGGTTGAGGGTCTGTCCCCCTTGCTTACCCACACATCCTTACGTGAAATGTATAGTTAACACGATTTTCCCTTTCTAACTATTAAAGGTTCACTTGATTCACAAAGAATGGTTCTTTCTCCCTTTCCTCTCTCTCCCACGCAGAGTCCAGCATAACAGATCATCCTGGGGGTCACAATCAACTCTTGGCTGTACAGAAGTCATGATAAAGAATCCATTCATAAATATGAAACTTTAGAAAGATTGCCCTATTAGGTTCTATGGCTATAACCAAGCTGCTTTAACAGCTTTTACACAGTTTATATTCTAAGCCTGCCTTATTTTCCCCTCTTCCTCTACCTCACATCATTAAGCTTCACCATCATTAAGCTTTCCCCTCTTCCTCTACCTCACATCATTAAGCTTCATGTCTTTCTCTTGCTTAACCCTCTGATAGCCTACTTTGCAGTCAGCAAAAATGAGAAAGCCCATGTAGGGCACACAAGGGGCCATGTGACATCCTGCCACCTCCCCGCCCAGCATCGCCCTATGGCATTGGGCTCATGTCACTGCAGTCTGAGCACACCACCTTTGGTTTCTCAAACACACATCACCTTTCCGCTTTCACTTTTCCATCTGCTCTTTCTTTCATCCCTCTCTCTGTTCTAATACATCATTCAGGCCCCCCATAAATACAACCTCAGAGAAGACTTGCCTCACCCCTCCCACTAAACCCAAGGATCATTTCCATTTTGCACCATTCTACTGGTGTCCTTCTAGAAAGATGAGCATATTTTGTAATTATAGACTTTTAATGTTATTATTTATTTAATGTCAGTCATCCATCAAAACCCCATGAAAGCTGGCAAGTGCAAGGTCCTGAGTTTGATTCCCGGTACCAAAACCAAACCAAAACCAAACCAAAAAACCCCACAAAAAAACAAAAAACACTCCTGGATATGCAAAACTCCATGAAAGGAGGAACTGCTTCTCTCTGTTCTGACATTCAGCCCAGTGCCAGGTATGTATTAGACAATTAATAATTATTTATTGGTTCCTTCTTTTTATAAACTTATATTCAATGCTCTGCTATTTCAAACAAGCCTCTTCATTTTATACCTAATTTAAACACAAACATATCATTTATACCAGAGAGATTCTTTTTCAAGTGAATTCTGGCATGGAGCTGAAAAACAAAAAATAAATCCAAGTATACCTATTCTGATTCCTGGAGAACTTTTTTTGTAGAAACAACAAAAAAAATTACTACAAGCCTATTTGTTTTCAATATAAAAAATTTCCATGGATGTCAGAGAAAGTCACCTTAGGATCAGGGAGATCCGTATTCACCACATTCTCTTTGGATTTATCTAAACCCTACTTCTCCAAGAGACAGTGGTTGCTTGTGGGTCCGACTGGGCTACAAGTATTCACTGCTCAGGTGGAAACAGAATTTAATTTTCACCCTGCCCTGAAGAAACTGCTTTTGAGTGAGCAAACCTATCTGTAAGTAGATTCGATTCCGCAGCTCCCTCTTACCAGCTATCCATGGTGTACTTGTTTTCTCTCACATCAGCATGGTCGAATTTAGCCGCCAAATTTCTAAAAGTGAGACAAGAATGTAAATCTCAAATAAAACTGAAATCAAATATAACTTGTCTGGAGAAGGTTTTATTCCTTGCACTGGGCTTTTTATACTTTGCATCAACTATGTGAATAATAAGGTAGCTAGCGTTCACTGTCTTCTTTATAAAATTATTTCTTGATGGTTCTCTCATATCTGCTAATAATTTTACAGCCCCTTCCTGGTCCCTTTGCACCTTCACACAGCCACTGCCGGCAGGTCACTACCCTCCGCTGTGCTGTCTCGGGGTTCAGAACCTCAGGAACTGCATCTCCGGGCACACTTCTTCTACTTGCTATGCCTCCGGGAGATGAGTCACCTGGAACTGGAAGTTGGAACACCACCTTAAACATATCTGCATGGTTATCTTCCCTCTGAGTCCTTAATCTTCCACTTCCTTAATATCATCAACACCATAGTTCTTGTCTGTATCTCATCCAAGATGGAGCAATCTTCAGACCCCTTTTCTCCTTTCTCTCTTTGCCTGCTTACCTCGCTACTATACTCTATCCCCCGAGTCACAGCTACTCTTCCTTTACAGTCTTCCTCACAAATTTTCCTCACTGCCCCAATAACCATGGCTGTGGGTCAAATCATCTCACACACAGACCTCTTTTTTCTCCACCCAAACATCTGTGTCAGGAGTCATCTTTCGTCAATAGATCCACCTACTGTCCAGGATATACTAGACCCACTCGGACTCCTGGGGCTGTCACTCTCATTTCCGACTATCTTGATGTCTCTGCTTGTCTCTTCAGTTAAAGAAACTAATTCATCATAATTTACATAATACTTGGACTTTTTAAAACTCACGTTATTCGTAAAATGATGCACTTCCCTTGTAAACACCTCTTTAAGACCAATTCATCATCAGCCTCATCCAAAATAATATCCTGAACTAATTAATCTAGCAACATAACCAGAAGGCTTTATGTTTCAGTATAGCATGTGTATAGCATTGGATTAAAATTAAAGGTTTGTAGATATCAAGCTTTCTACCTTTTTTGAAACTCCACTCACATACACATGAGGAATACTAATACTGAAGATAGTAAAGATAACGAAGTCTGGCATAAAACTTCCGTCCAAAGCGTTCAATGAATAGTGATACTCACACCTTTGCTTTCTTTTGCTTGTTGGTGAGACCATTCTACAACAAGAGAAAACGAGAAATGGTTTCAGACGATGAAATCAACGATTTTGTTTCTTTAGTTGACTCTGATCGTATTTGTTAGTCTATAACAGCAACAGATTCATACTTGTTTGCAATTGCAACAAGCCATGTACCAACACTTAGTACTTTAAAACTTAAAATTATGCCACTCTTGTGGGTTTGAAGCGGTCTCTATGTGCTGTTTGAATCTGCATTTTCTGATTCTTAGTGAAATAAAGCATCTTTTCCTGTTTATTACCCATGTGAGTTTCTCATTTCTAAACTATCTTCAGGCACTCTGCGTTGTTCTACTGAGTTGCTTATCACTTTCTTACTAATTTGTAGCTCTGTACAAAAAGAATCTTTCGTGACACATCGCCTGATTTATACGTTTAGTTTGAATTATGTTTAGTTCTGATCTTTAAGAACAGAGGCAGAATAAACCTTTAAATATTGGTCAGTTGTCGAAGAGCAAAACAAGGTCACAGGAATAATGTAAAAACATAAGGTGGAGAGGGAAGAACAGGAGGGAAGTGTGGTAGAGGCTAGCAAGTGAGGAGGAAGAGACCTTAATGAAGAAAAGGAAGGGAGGGAACAGGCTGCTAAAATCATTATTAGGAGGCGCACATGAGACAAGAGTATAAACAATATAGCAAGGCACTAGCGATCATTTCTAAACGAGGAAACACAAGACTAAAAAGAAGCTTAGAGACTGATACAGCACCACGGCAAAACTGCTGTCACTGTCAGTGTTATTTTCCCATGTATTTGTTGAGGAGTCATTTTCAGAGGACACTTCAGAAGCTCTAGAAGAAAAGGAAATAACCATGATCAATGAATTTCTTTCTATCAATAACTTCTTTCTGCAAATTCTCCTTCAACATTAAATGCTTTAATAAAAACTGCTCTTGGGACAGCAATTCCTTCTTCTCCTCTCTCTTCCTCTCCCTCTTCCTCTTCCCCCTTCCTCTTCTTCCTCCTCCTCATTTATTTTTGGTGCTGGGATCAAACTCAGGGCCTCCAATAGACTAGGCAAGTACAGCCTCCCGAGTGCTGGGATTACAAGAGTGCACCATCACACCCAGTTTAGGTAAAAATGTGAGTATGTTAAAATCACAGATCATTTGCCCCAGACTTACAGTGTTTTGGAAGACATGTTTCCAGAGTCACTGGACTCCGCAGAATGATCAGTAGACGCCTGGTGAGTTTTCTGAAAGAAAGAGTGGCCCTTAGCACATTTTAAATGTAACTAACCTCTTCTCTACAGTGGCTCTATCTCAGGATACTAGCTGTTATATTTATTTTCCCCACGTTTAACAAATTTAAAACACTTATAAAATTAGTTCATTTTTAGATGTCAATCCACAAACAGCCCCAAATCATCAAAAAAACACTGGTTGTACGCAGAATGGAGGAATCATTGTCTGTATGACTGACTCTCTCGGCATTACATAAACACAGTTTACCCTCTAATCAACCTCAGAGCGAATTCTGAAATATAAGAAGTAAGTGTAACAGCAGCACATACCACCAGTCTTTCTTTTGAAATCTGATCATATGCAAGTTTGGCAGCCAACTGCTTTGCATCCTGTTTCGTAGAGGCTGTTCCACAACCATACACTTTCTGCCCAATTTTGCACTTACATTGAAATCTAGAAGAAAAGATGAGAGTACTGATCCAAATATCAAAAATACACCAAAGCTGACTTATTAGCCAGGTTTATGTTTCACATCTTGTGTAACTTAAACCTGCAATCAAGAGGCTGGCCAATTTATCTGAGTAACCAGGATTGGCCGATATCGCAGCTTCCATTTCCCACACAAAGCACCAAATGACCACTTTGAAACTCACCTAAAGGTCAAAAGATTCAGAGGTACAGAAGGAAGTGAGAGATCCAGTGAATTTTTCAATGAGGCTCAAAGGGGAAAGAAATGACTCAAAGTGGGCCTTTCATAGGAGGAAGTTTGAAGTTATAGTGCTTTTGGGTGGAGGGATGAGCAAAAGATGGATTTTACTCTAACATGGCTGATAGGCATAAAAACCTAAGAAAATCAGGGCTGGGGATTTAGCTCAGCGGCAAAGCGCCTGCCTGGCAAGCACAAGGTCATGAGTTCGGTTCCCAGTACCGGAGGGGGAAAAAAAAAAAAAAACCTAAGAAAATCCCCACAGTGCACCCACCACCCCGTCTTGAAATCCAAACTGTCCTCACACTACATATAAAGACATTTGTGGTTTAGGCAAGGGTTCTTGGACATTCATATAAAATTTTACCACTCTTTTCTTTTGAGATAGGGTCTCACTATAGCCTCAGACTTGCAGCAATCCTCCCTCAGCCTCCCATGTGCTGGGATTACAGGCGTGCATCACCATCCCTGGCAAAAAACTACTTTAAAAGTAGAGCACATCACATCAATTGACGTAAAGCAACGCACATCAATTTATGTCATGAAGTTCATATATATTACTGCAAAATTATTCCAGAACTTGCATTTCTTTTACTTTCTTTTCAATTGTGGAACACAGACAGAAACATCCTTGCAAGGTCCTGAATTAAAGAGCTGGGGTAAGTAACAGGATTGTGTCTACAGATCCTATCTGGTGCCAAATAAACTTCTCTCTTTTAGGCAGCTAACGCCGAAGCGTTTAATCCAAGGGAGCTGAAAAGGTAAACTATGGAAAAATAAAATAGTCCCCATGGAGATTGGCCCACTGAGTTCACTTTTAACTATTTCATTCCAATAATCCTATCACATTTTTCTCTTCCTGGTTCCATCCTAAAGCCATGACAGTAAAAGGCAAATAGCGGAGTCCCTTCCTAGGACAGGATCAAAGAGTGACAGTTTGGCTATTGGTCAGTTTGGGTTTTTTCTTCTCTTTCATTTAACTGGTTGGTTGTCATTTAGATACACTTTCCCTCATAGACATTTGCTTTCTGATTTTTCACTTCCAGTCCCTTCTTTATCCTACTTCCACAAGCCTTATTTCACTAATGATGTTTTTAGTAACTCTCAGACTCTAATGCACTGATTTACCCCTCATAGCCCTTCAAGAGGCTGTCTCCACAGCCCGGGGCTAACACCATTCCTTCTGACTTTGGGTATTTGATCAAACACCTCAACAAAATAGCTCACTAGTCTGCAATGGTGAAGAGCCATTCTATCCACACGGCAGAGCAGTTTCCACCCAGCTACTGTCACTGACCACAGGGACAGGAGGCTTGCATCTCTCCGGCAGGGGCACCCTGTGCTCATGAGGTATCCAACAGACTAACCATCCAAATATAACTTAGAAATACAGTAATCCTCTTCTCCTGGGAATACATTCTAAAAATAATAATATAGAACAAATACAATTAATAATAAAATAAAAGGACTCTAATGATACGTTGTAATAAAAATATCTTATTACAATATACTGCAGTGAAAACTGTCACTGTCCTATGAAGTGACTCGGCTATTTGATTTTTACCTTGATGTCCTTTAGGCTACAACTAGAAAAAGAAAGATGTAATAGTATTATTGGAATGAAAGAGTCAAATCTCTCTTTTTTTTCTTGTACTGGGAATTAAATTCATGACCTCAGGCTTGCCAGGCAAGTGCTTATGCTGTTGAGCTATATCCCTGACCCGAAATAGTCAATCTCAATAATTCAGCCTATTTTATTTTTCTGGAGCTCAACTTTTTGGTTCCTTTCACTTAAGTAAGCCAACATTAGATACTTAAAAGAAAGTAGTCTATTTGGGGGCATCTGGACAAATAGGAGCTACAGAAATATTTCTATGTGAATGTGGTCTCTGTCTCCCTCTCTTTCAAAATACATTATTGAATCATATTCTTCCTTTTCCTTCTTGCTGACCATGGATAACTGCAGAAAGCAAAATTATGCATAAGGGAAGGTGACTGCAAAGGATTACCCAAATTTGAGCAATCATGGTATGGACTTCACAGCACTAGCAATGAAATATTTTTAATTAAAAAGATGTCCAGAGGTGGGCATGGTGACACACGATGGTAGTTCCAGCTACTGAGGAAACTGAGGTGGGAAGTTCCCTGAGGCCAGGAGTTCGAAAGCAATCTGAGCAACATGGTGAGACGCCCCTTTCAAAGAAAAAAAAAAAAAAAAAAAAAAAAAAAAAAACAGCAATTCTGCATCACACAAAACTTAGCAGATTTTCAAAAAATTGTATGTAGGTTGTATAGATTGTATAAAAAGAAAGGAAAACTATTTCTGAAAAC